TTAGGTGCCCTGCTCAGGGAGAGACAACTCGGATGTGCCCATTCTCCTTAGGTGGGTGTTGGTTTAGATTCCCTTTCAGTCATGCTCAGTACCTGTCCCTCCGTGCTGTTTGTAGTGTGTCCTACAGTTCAGGTGATTAGCATTTCCCTGTTTCATATCACATTTTCTTTACTCCTCTCTTCATGGATCCCTCCTCACTTGGTTCCCAGCATTGGCTCTTGCGGTGCACATGGGAATCCGGGTGTCTCGGACGTGTCAGTTTTGTTTCCTTTGCATGCCTACCCCGAAGCAGGTTTGCTGGATCACAGTGGTTCCATTTCAATTTGAAGGAACTCCCATGCTGACCTCCGTGGTGGCTCTGCTAGCTTATGTTCCCCTTAAGAGTGCAGAAAAATGGCCTTTCTCTGCATGTTCACTAGCATTTCTGTTTTTGCTCTTTTTGGCGATAGACTTTCTGACTGGAGCAAGATGATACCTCATTTGCATGATGATGTTGAACTCCCCTCCCATACTTATTGGTCATTTGTATTTCTTTTTTGAGAAATGTCCATTCCGACCATTTGCCCATTTCTAAATGGGATCGTTTGGTTTCCAGAGGATTTTGAGTTCCTACAGTATAATCTTCACACAGATCCTCCTAACACACCTTCCTCCTGTGCAGGCACCCAGTGTTTCCCACTGAGAGTAGCGGTGTCCCTGCCGATGGCCGCCAAGGCCTCCCTTGCCTTCTGATCCTGCTCCTTCGCTGACTTCTCCCCCCACTGTGTGCCAGGGGCTTTTCCCTTGCTGCTGCTTGTGATCGCTCCAGGCCTGATCGCTCCGCAGGGCTTTTGTACATTCTTTTCCTTGTGCATGGGATGCTTTCCCCACAGGTGCTCCACCAGCCTTGTCCCCTCCGTGTCTTAAGTATTTTATGCAGAAGTCACGCTGGCCATGAGGCCTTCTCTGAGCATCCCTTTCTGTGCCCGACTTTTCCCCAAAAGCTGTCTTCCAACTCTGTGTACATTAATCTGTGCAGTTCAAATGCCTAGAATAGTACCTGGCAATTAAGTGCTAAATAAAAATGTTTTGAATAAATAGTAGTGAAAGGGTTTCATACTTTGAGAAATGTGCCACTGTCCTGACTATACATTTATAATATGATTGGGATGTGTGTTTTGTTTCAGTGGTACCATTTATTCACTTGACAGCTGTCTTTCTAAATAGTACCAAGCTGGGGATTGTGCCCAAGGCATCTGAACTGCACTAGGCCCCCAACACCCTTTTTTGTTGTTGTTTTGAGATAGGGTCTCACTAAATCGTAGAGTTGCCCAGGTGGGCCCTCCTTCCTCAGCCTCCTAGAAGCTGTCATTTCTTTCTTTTTTTTTTTTTTTTAAAGGGTTAACTATAATCTTTATTTTTTCTTCCATAATTTTATTGAGAAACAAATAGCAATGAGACAGTTTCAAACCAAACTGATAGGACAGCTTCAATAATTAACACATTGCATACATTCTTTCTAGTGGTTAATTGCTGTACAAGATGCGGACATGATATCCTATTTGCAAACACCATTAGAACAAATCCCTCTATTCATTAAGAGAATGTAACTATATATCTAACCTAACCACTTTGAATACACAGATACAAAATGGACATTCATCTGTATCCCCTTTTTTGGTTAAGTTTCGTTATTTGAATATTATAGGTATGTAAACTCAGCAAAATATTCTAAAAGAGTCCAGTGGTCCATAATAGTATTGGGTCTTCTGCTTCACTGGCAATGTCAGAAATTGTTGACCTGAGTCCCCTACAGCTCAACATAACAGCATGGCTTTACTTCTTATATTTCGTTTTTCTACTTTTCTGCTGGATGGTTAAGACCAAGGTAAAGCAGGACCTATGCAACAAGAGTTGTAGAAGCTGTCATTTCTTGAGAGTACTGGTGATATACTTGAGCCATATCTGACCTAACTATAAGTCATGTCATTTGGTTAATTAATTAGCCAAATATGTATTCAGTGACTAGAGCCTGAATCAAGGGAGAAGGCGTACAAAGTACAAACCCGAAAGCTGACAGATGAAATCATTAGAGGAGGGCTAGGAAGCACTGCATAGAATTGGTGTGGAAAACAAGCCACTTTTTTGATCTGTTCTCATCCAAAGGCCTGTTAAATACTTTCATTACATATAATAAACTTTGTTTTTCTAGTCAAATGTCAACTAATTTAGTACCACATGAAAAATTTTCTTGCAATGAAATCAATTAAAAATTAACTTGCTTTTTCAGACACTTGAGTGTATTTTAGAGAATTCATTAGTTTCTCATTCCACGTTGATTACAACAGCAAATAACATTTTTATTTCTCAAAAGGTAGAGTTAAACTTCAGTAGATGTTGGTTTTGCTTGGCCCAGGAAATAAAACTGGATTCCAACTACTTGTTAAATAACTGTATGTAAGAAACAAAGTAATTGGAAATGTAAGACTTTTAAATGACTATAAATAAGTAAAATGAATGAGAACTGTGAGTAGGAATGAGCCATGGGGTTCAGGATGAGGGAAAGCAGCGTGTTCAGGTGAAGTGCAGAGGGGAGGGTGCAGCTCCGAGGCAGAGCACAGGCCTAGCGTGGGCAGGGACCTGGGTTTCGTCCCCAGCACTGCCAAAACAAGACAGAAAGGATGAAAGCAGAGATGTGGGAAGTGGACGCTGCGCATCTAACTCGCGATGCACACATTCTTTCCCTGTGCACGGCAGGCTTCCCTCCAGAGAGATGTTTCCATTCGTGAATGAGGAGCATGGTGATAGTATGGACCTCGGGGCTGCTGTGGGGATTCGGGAGAACAGCCTGCAGTAGAGAGCTCAGAGAGGCAGCTCAGGAAGGGCTGCGCGTCAGTGGCGGCTATCGCGGTGTGGATGCCAGCATGCGTACTCTGTTACTCATTCCTGGTAGGAGCAGCTCCCTGCGGCCTCCCGCGGCAAGTGTGTTAAGCATTCACTAGGATAGGAGCTTCCTTAGCCCTTGGGGCTATCAGCAGGCTGCTGCCGTGGTCCTGGCACTACAGGGTGGACAGCAAGGGCTGGGGACAGTGTGAAGGAAAGCCGGTGGCAGGGGCCAGCAGTGGTGTGGAAAGAGCCCAGGCATCTGTCACCAGTGAACGGAGGACAAGTGCAGTGAGCCCATAGGCAGGGACCAACCCATGCTACAGGACAGGGAGGCTTTGGAGGCATGCAGAGAGAAGCCGGTCTCAGCATGCCACAGACTGCATGACTCGGTTTCCATGAAATATCTAGAAGCAGCAAATCTTAGCGACAGAGTATGTCATGGGTGCTGTGGCTTAAGGGTGTGACTGCCGTGGGCATGGGGCTTCTTTCTGGGGTGCTAGAAGCATTCTAAAAAGGACTATGGGGATGCCTAAACAATCAGAATATATTAAAACCCACTGAATTGAGTACCTTCAGTGGGTAAGGTGTATGTGAATCCTAGTTTTTAAAAGTTTTTTTTTTTTTTTTAAATGCACCTGGTGCCGTCTAGGTAGGAACCAAAAGTAGCACGACTGTGGCTGAGGGTGAGCAGGAAAAACTGACCAAGGGCAGGTTGACAGGTCCAGTGGGTGCGGCCCTGAGGCCCCTTGTCCTTGTCAGGGAGGAAGGCGCTGAAGGTCCCAGGTGGTGCAGGCACAGAGGTCCAGAAGACCAAATAGCAACAGGTGGGTGCAACTCAGGGCAGTGGGGGGCTGGAAGCTTAGTAGCCTGCAGAGGAGTCAGGCTTCTCGAGAAGGACTGTGCGTGTGAACCCAGCGCGACGAGCAGAAGCCCTCTGTTTGGGACTCGCTGTGCCGAGTTGGTGAAGGAAGAAAGGGATGATCTCGGGATAAGCAGATTCTGCTTGGGAGCCACATGCTGTGGCCTGCACTACTGGAGCCCATCTTGCGTGATGAGAAGTGGAGGAATGAGTTTAGAATGTGCACCGGTGCCTGTTAATGTCTGTATGTCAACATTTTGGCTTTGCACAAAATAATTAAAAGGTGTTTCATTGGAGTCATTTCATTACTACGCCCTGTGCTGTCTGCAGTCTGTCCAGCTGTCTTCTCTCTGGAGCTTTGCTTTCTAGTTCTACAGTGAAATTTATTTTCCAGTAAGAAACTAATCATCATCAGGAAGATATAAAAGCGTCCTGAGACTACTCAGGCCTTCCAAGAACGGCATCAGTGTTTAAAAATTTTATTATTGGAAATGAAGTACTTAAAAAGATTTTTTTTTTTTAATCTTCACAGCCCATTGGCAAACAGGTTCAGGTAGAGCCAGTCTGAGCCCTAAGTCCTGGAGACGGTTCTGCCTGTCCGCCTGGGGCGAGTGGAGGCACGTGTGCTCTGAAGCCAGTGTGGTGCAGAGGGAGACGGCTTTGGCTTTCTGAAAACGGACTGTGTTACCACAACTGCTCGTCGGGGTGTAGCCCTGGGGAGAGCCGAGCAGCCTGCCTCCCTAACTTCATGGCAAAACCCCCTCTTAGCCCGGTGATGCTGCTGCTTGTGACAGGTGACAGGGATGAGCATTAGCACACCAGCCTCTTTATAAGTGCTGAGCAGTTTTCAGAGGGAATCTTCAGAGCAGCCCAAGACATCGACCAGAGGAACAAAGAAGTCAGGCCCAAGGTCACACACGAGAAAAAAGTACCACAAGTGGAGAGCAGAGGCCACCGGCCATCCTGGCTTCACCACCGTCCATCAGGAGAGCCCCGAAAACATCACTAAACCATGCGAGTCTGTCTTGATGTGTCACACAGACAGGAATCGCTGTGTGCTGAGCACCCTTCATTCTGCTGTCCTGAGATCAAGGAAAGGGGGCGGCTGTGCTTCCTTCCAGGAGGCAGAGTGCTCGGGGATGGAGTGGGTTGTTGAGCAGCAGTCTGCCTCCCCTCACCAGCAGAGATGAGATGGAAAACGGTTTCCATTTTCCAACTCTGTTTCACATCTAATGTTTCTAATTCTTTGGATGTGATTTTTTTTTTTTTTTTTCAGGTTACTTGTCTGCAAGACTTTTTTGGAGATGATGATGTGTTTATTGCGTGTGGACCTGAAAAATTCCGTTATGCCCAAGATGACTTTGTCCTGGATCACAGTGGTAAGGCCATTCATTGACTGTCTTCCTAACCCTTGGCTGGCTGTGACACTTTGGGAGGTTGAGACAAGAAGCCTGCAAGTTCCAGCCCATCCTGGGAACTTGGTAACTTAGTGAGACTCTGTATCAAAATAAAAAATAAAAAGAGCTGGGATGTAGCTCAGTAGTTCAGTGGCAGAGTGCTTGGGTTTGCTCCCAGCACCATAAACAAGCCAAAAACCGTAAAGAGTAATAACTAAATTGTTTATGGTGAGGAGTTGAGATTTCTTTTTATCTGATCATTTCGTTTGCAACTTTTTAAAACAACCAATCACATGTATCATTTGTAGATTTGTGGGGAAGCTATTTTGTGGGTGAAATGGAAAAAAAATCCATTTTCTTAATTTTTTTTTAAATTTATTTGGTACAGGGCCTACAGGGTCTCACTACGTAGATCTGACTCAGTGATTCTCCTGTTTTCAGCCTCCCAAGAGCTCCATGCCCAGTCTCAATCGCTGTCTCAGCACACCCTGGGGGTGGGGCTGGCACAGCATCCCGGGAATCACCAGCTGCTATACTCTGCCTAAGCAGGTGCTTTCGTCCACTGAGCTATTTGGCTGGCCCTCTTTTTCTTAATTTTGGTCAATACAGAATTTTCACCTACTTAGCAGTGATCTAAGTGATTTTGAACGTTATCATTCTATGAATGACTTTCTTTGTTTTTATTACTTTAAACCTGTTGCAGTATAGTGTTTGTCTTAGCTGAAGATAAAGTCTACTTCATCTTTAAAGGAGATAAAGTTGTGCAACGTAGTGTTTCACAGAGAGAGCAACTTTAGAGCTGTAGTCTCACATTTGTGGAAGGTCGGCTACAAAAAAGGAAAAGTAGATGAATAGTAGAATACTTACAGTTGTAGTGGTCATGGCATGCCAGAATTACAGAAATACATTAGTAAGTAAAGAGTGACATCTGTGCTTTTTAGTTTTTTGTTTGTTTGTTTGTTTTGAGGGTCTCATGTTATGTAGTGCAGGCTGTCCTTGAACTCATTATGTCACCCAAGCTGACCTCTAATCTGGTGCTCTTCCTGCCTCAGCCTCCCAGGTGCTGGATGACAGGCACATGGCATCACATTCATCGTCATGTTTTAAAATTTAAGATATTCATTCTATTGTATTAAAACAGCCTCTGTAATTCTTTCTTTGTACACTCTGTCATTTACCCATCTGCTTATAGTTTTCTTCCCGTTTGGTTTTTTCTGTATTGTTTTTCGCCTCTGCCTCTACCATAGTTCTTTGCGTCTTTGAAGAAAGAATTTAGACAAGACACTTGGGCAGCTATACAGAGTATGCGCAGAGTTTATTGTAAAGCAGTAGAGTTTTAGAGCAGTAGAAGAGGCACTTTAAAGGGCGCGGGGGAGGGGCAGTACCCCTGCGCCTGTCGCACTGAATGAGGCTCAGGCTACCTTTCTACCATTCGTACAATGAAGTGGGTCTTCAAGGAGTATAATTTCCTTCTCCCCAGGCTGTGGTTCTTTTTTGTTTGTTTTTGTGTTTTGGCAGAACCAAGGATTGAACTCGGGCCCTTGTGCTTGCCAGGCAAGCACTTACTCTGCTGTGCTATCTCCCCGGTCCCTGGGCTGTGGTTCTTTTACAGGGGAGAATATGAGAGAAGAAAGAAGGCTTCTGTTGACTGCATGAACTCTTTCCATTTAGTTGGTTTTGAGACCTTGGGGTCCTTCCAGCCCCTCACCCCTGACCTGGACCTCATCAGTACACTCAGAGGGTCTTGCATAGCTTGAAACCATAAGCTTGTTTAGATTTTATGCATAGCCAATGATTGAGAAAATAAAGGGAAATGTTTACAGATCACACCTCCCTAGCTTTGCCTGTGCTCCAGCCTGCAGTATCCAAGCACGCTAATGTCCCATTTCTGCCTAACACAGTCAGCAGTGGTTTACATCTTTATTGACGTTAGCTTTATTTCTGTAATATTTCTGTGGTAGCAGTAAACATCATACTGAAAGTTGAGACACTGAAATATAGTGATATGTTCTGGTTTTCATTGGATAACATTAATAAGAATAAAGCGTTTGCTAAGCTTCCGCCAACATCTTGCATTGAAGATCCATTCTGAATACACAGAATGCAGCTACGTTAATCTTAGCTGAGTTACAAACTCTCTACAAAAGCTAGCTGTGGGACTAGCCCTGACTTACAAACCCAGGGTGTAGTTCTGAAATTCCAGATTATTTGCTCTGTATGTTTACATGTCCTGCTTGTAAAAGAAAGCACTACCTTTAAAATGTTTGGAAGAGATCTACACCACATCCTTTGGCCATGGACACCATCCATGGTGTTAATTAAGCAGTACCTGTTACTGTTCCTTTCTTTTTTTTTTCTTTTTTGGAAACCTTGTATTTTTTTTTTAAATAATTTTATTGAGAAACAAATAGCAATGAGACAGTTTCAACACTGATTAGTAGGACAGTTTCAATAATTAATACATTGCATATTGTTGTTTTCTTAGTGGTTATTCATAGTACAAGATACAGACATGATATTCTGTCCACAAACACTATTAGTAAAAATCTTTCTATTTATTGAGTTAAGAGAAAGTAATTGTATATCCTGTTTTGAGTATACAGATACAAAATGGTCCTTCATTTGTGTCCCCTTTTTTTGTTTAATTTTGGCAGAGATGGGTATTCCATTGTCATTTAAATATTATAGGTACGTGAATTCAGCAAAATATTCTAATATAGTCCAGTAGTCCATAATAGTAGTGGGTTATCTGTAGGACTGGCAATGTCAGAAGTTGTTGACTTGAGCATTTCACAGCTCAGCATATTAATATGGCTTTACTTTTTATACTTTGTTTTTATACTTTTCTGCTGGATGCTTAAGACCAAGATAAAGCAAGACCTATATAACAAGAAATGTAACTTTTGTATCCCTTTGTGCAAGGTTTTAGTTAGAGTCTGTCGGTTGCTAACTAGCCCTCCTATGTGTATTTTCCTGATTAGTGTCCTCCATAGGTGAATTCCCTGCCTCTGGCAGACAGATTAGAAGCTAACTGTTACTTTAATGGAAGTATTTTAAATTATAGACGATATTTTATCTATATCATCTATAACTTAATCTTTACAAGAAGATTATGAAATAGTTTTTGGTTTGATCCCAATTTCTTAGGAATGATACTGATATCTCTAGTAGCAGGTATCAAATCTATAATCCACCCAAAATCTACTTGACTCCAAAACTCATGTTCTCAATTATTTGAATTAGGAGAGATTATTCTAGCTGTAATTAGTTCTGATAAACACTTTTATTAGCAAGTTTGAAGTTATTGTCCTCATTTTTTATGCACACACTTTTGCAGATGGAAAATAAGACAGACAGTGGTCCATAAATTGGAGTCCTTTATCTGTTCAAAATAAAAACCAGGGAGTTGGAGAAAATAATCATGTTAGTGCCTTTGCTGCTGATTAAAAAGAAAGTTCCACACATATGCGTTAGGTCGTGGATGTTTCTGATTATCAGGTTAGGACACTGGGCTCCTGGGTTGCTAAGAACTTCCTCCGGAACTGTGAGCTCGTGTCACAAGTTCTGCCAACTGAGGATAACCTCAGGTGTACCTTTTTTCAGTTGCTTTGTACGTCACAGTTATTTAATTGGACTGAGGATGTAGCTCAACAGAGCACTTTCCTAGTATGTGCAAGGCCCTGGGTTTGACCCCAGTGATACAGTGAAGTTGTCAGACAGCCAGTGTTGTGGAATACGTGTGCAGTCCCAGAACTGCAAGAGAGGAGGAGGATCATTGTGAGTTTGAGGCCAGCCTGAATCTTGTCTCAGGGGAAATAAAATGGTTGTGAAGGAGTTGTACATAGAAAACTATGGTCCCACGTGGTGGTCTGCCTTTCTGCCCTGTTAAAGCCTGTTTATTTCATGTAGTTTTGCTGTTTTCCAGAATGTCGGGTCCTGAAGTCATCTTACTCTCGATCCTCAGCTGTTAAATATTCTGGATCCAAAAGCCCTGGGCCCTCTCGTCGCAGCAAATCACCAGCTTCAGGTATGAACGGAAGAGCGGGGGACACTCACAGCACAGGCAGGTCCTGTTACATCAGTTTTCTTGAACATTCCTGAACCTGTAGTCTGTGCTAGGCTGGTGTGCAGCCAGCCTCGGGACAGCAGAGAGAGGACCTGAATTTTAAAACCAAAAAGTTAGGTCTGTTTCTCGAAGTTGTGAGTCTCCTGGGAGACGTGCACATATTTGCTCTTCATGGTCTCCAGAAGCTCCTTATTAGCTAAGGCCTTCTTGTGCTATTTATGTGGAAAGCGTTCACGTTTTAACCACATTTATTTTCTTAACATTATCTCTTCTGGTCTAAAGCATTCACTGCACACAGAAATACATGTACTCGGTACATTTCCACTGTCCTTTCCTCATCAAGCAATATAATGGTAGCAGTGAGGTAGGACTTATGTCGGAGTTAGATGGCCCTGTTAAGTTTCAGGTCCTAAGCCTATATAGATTTGTCACGGGTTTGAGTGGGCATTTTTTTAAACATTGAAAACCTGCATAAATATCTGAAGAACTTGATTCAAGGGTTTGTTCATAGTAGTTAAGAATAATTTGCTTAAAAGGCAAAATGTAAAAATCATGACTTACCAGATGTGCTGGGCTCCCTGGAACGTGTCAACATAGTATCTGTAAGAGCCATTTTGAGCATTGAACGTCGTCGTAGACTATCTCGGGCATCCCCCTTTTCTCCGCTTTCCTCAGAAGCCGTGTCACTCCTTAGGGCAGGCTGATTGACCTTCTTTTTGTGTACGCATTTAGACTGCTGAATAACCATCTCCTTACTGTCTCCTCTGCTTGTGTATACTGCATGTGCACAGTAAAGAGGGGTGGCCACTACTCCAGTGCCTATTCTGCAGCCAAATCCCCAGGTGAGCCATGAGCGCTGTGGCTTCGTTGCTGTGCTGGGCTTTGTTTCTGTCTTTTGCTGCATTTCTGTTTCCTTTTGCTCCATCGCCATGAGTGTTTCTGGCTTATTCCAGTGTACATCTGTGCAGTGTGAAATGCTTCACGGTGTGTAGGATTGTTCAGTAGCGGAGCCGTTCTCGGGAGATTGCCGAGCGCCAGTCCATGTGTAGCTGAGATGCAGGATTGAGGAGACATGATCATCTGGGGGGCTTGTGTCTGCTTCATTTTGGGAGTGTTATTGTCACTGTGACGATAGAAATAGCTTTGCGTTGCTTCTCTCCATTCCTTCCTGGGGCTGAGTGTTTAGGGATCTTTTAAATCTGAGAATTCAAAGTACTTGATAGTAGAATACGCCAGAAGAGGGTTATGAGACGCGATCTGTCTATACAGGAAGGCAGACTATACTTTTTAGTTTTCAATCATTTTCATAAAGCTCAGTATGCTCTCCGAATATATGACAGTTTACGCTTTGACTATTTTCAATGAAGATGTGTCTCTCTTCCTTGACCTTATTTTAAATTGTATTTGGCTCTCTGTAAAACATCTTAACACTAGGCAAGCTAATGTATGAAATTTTCATAAACACAGTGACCTGGGAAAATCAGATGCAGGCGTAGATTTCAGTCAGATCCCCTGGCTTTTGTCTTAAGTTGTGTGCTTACAGGTACTCACAACATCAGTAAAAAACATCAAGTGAGAGTGGAAAGAGTGGCTTCAAAGTCACACGTGACTAACTCAGCTTTGTGCACTGCAGCCCAAAGAGGAAAACGAACGTGCTGAACTGTAACAGTCTCGCTGCCACTTTTGCCCTGCAGATGACCGCTGTCACGAGCCTAACGTGATGCATACGTGATTCTTTTACATTTGAATTCTGCGTGGTTAAAATCTGATTAAAGAAAATTGTGGCATTCTAGTACACTGCACCCATAGTTGGGTAGAGTAGGTAAAAGTTACGAGATTTAAAAATCGTATTTCTGAGGACAGATGTGTCTCTGTAGGAGTATAAATCAGACTGCACTCAGAGTTAGCTGCAGTTACGGAAAACTGCAAGCAGGAGCCAGTGCTGGCACTTCGCTGTGACTCCAAAGAAAGCTGTTCACCTTAGCCATAAAGCACACCCATCCCGCTGTGTGCTTTCCCCGGTTTCTGCCACCAAAGGGGAGAGAGTTTTGCATTGTTAGAAGCTGAAGCACCACGAGTGCAGTGGCGTTAATTGCTTTCACAGACAGCTTTAGCTGTAGTATACCTGCTGCCATTTTAAAATTTGCAAGAAAGTCTGGCATGTTGATGCCCACCTGTAGTCCCAGCCGCCTGGACGGCTGAGCACTTGATCCTAGGAGTTCAAGGTCAGAAGATACAGAGATATAGAGGAGATAGAGAATCCCTTGGCTCAAAGAAAAGAATTCCAAGGGACTGATTGGAATTTCAAACAGAACAAGTACCTTTGTAAGCATAACACCATATCCTTTCAATCTGGAGGCCAAAGTGCTATTTTGAATAAAGTATTCTGGTTTGTGTGTTTGGTTCTTTTGGACTTTTTGAGACAGTGTCTCATTGTGTAGTTCAGGCTGGCCTTGAACTCACTTTGTAGCCCAAGCTGGTCTGGAACTCTCAGTGAACCTCCTGCCTCACCCTCCTGATGCTGGGATTACAGGTGTGTGCCACCATTCCTGGCAGTGAATAGAGTCTTCTGATTCAGTAAATCTTTCATCCAAACTCTACCAAAATAGCTAAATAGTAATAAACACATGGACATTAATCTGGGTAACATAAATAGGTAGTCACTGTAGTAGTATACCAAGATAAAAATTATTCAGAGCCAACTTTAAAAAGCCCCCTACATTTGCCTGTTAGTGTTGAATGGATGGGGCTAAGGTTTTAGGAGAGGGGCTGGGGATACAGCTCAGTGGTGCAGCACCTGCCTGCAAGCATGAGCTCCTGAGTGATTCCTAGTACCCTGCCCCCGCAAAAAAAAAAAAAAAAAGATTGTAGGAGAGACAGTCAGGCCAGGCCCTGTTGAAAGTCTCAGCAGCCACCTTGAACTCTAGAGAAATGTGTGAGTGAATGAATTAAGGACTTCTTACTAGAGAACAAATCTTTAGGACCTTGCAAGTGCCACTGAGAACTTTGAGGCTAGACACGAGTGTCTCTTTAGAATGAATGCAGAGGTGGAGGTGAGATACGGATGCCCGTGTGGCTGATGACATGGGTAAATGGCTGGCAGTGAGTTGTTGTAGGGCCCTCTGCTTAGGCAAGGACTGGATTTTCTGTTTGCTACAGATATAGCCAGATGAGGCACCGGTTTTTCTCCTCTGCCTCCTAAACATGGTATCTGAATAGTAGTGAAAGCTGACAGTGTTGATTGGTTAGGAGCTGGCAGCCAGTATAGGTTGTTGAGTGGGAGAGGGGAAGCAAAAAAATGAAGTTCAGCCTGGACTCACAGCAAGCTTACTTGTTTATTGTTCACAATAATCTCTATTTTGTGTGACTCCTTTGAAACAATTTTTTTATTTTAGTTTTTGTATTTTTAGGGAAGGGTCTACACAGCGTTCAGGGTCTCACTACTACATCGGACTCATACTGATCTGCCTGTTTACAGCTTCCCAAGAGCTGGGATTACAGGCACGCGCCACCATGCCCAGTCTCAATTGCTGTCTCAGCGCGCCCTGGGGGCAGGGCCGGCACAGCAGGCCTGGGGATTGAACCCCTGGCCTCTGTGCCTGCTTGCAGATGCTTTAATCTGCTGAGCTATTTGGCCAGCTTGAAACAGTGTTTTTAGAGGTCGGTTATTTGAGCAGCTTTCAGATTCACAGCAAAATTGAGCAGAGGATGCAGGTTCTCTTCGGGTACCTCTGGCCCTGAACATCACAGTCTCCTCCATCCTCAGCAGACCTCAGCGGAGTGGCGCTTTTAAAGATATTTGTTCTTCTTGCAGTTCTAGGAGTTGAACCCAAGACTTTTGCACCGAGTTATAATTTTAGCATTTAAAAAATTTACACTTTATTTCGAGCCCATCTTAAGTCTCTGAGCTGTCCAGGCTGGCATCCTCCAGCCACAGCCTTCTCAAGGGCTGTCACCACGCTGGCTCAGAGTGGTGCATTGCCGCAGTCAGCATGGCATTGTCACCCAAGGCCACAGTGTGCAGCAGGGGCTGCTCTTGAGGCTGTGAATGCTGCAGCCTAGAAAGAACTGTGATGGCCCTGCAGTGTCATGCAGGTGGCTTCAGTGCTTTTATGCTTCACCTATTTTAAAGAATTTTAAAAGAAGTAACAATAATTGAAATTGACTTGAAAAATTATAAGGGCTGCTGAAAACTCTTTAAGTTGTGTTGAATTCAGGGTACCCCCATAAATTTGTTAAGGGAATCTAGAGAACTGAACTGAGTGATTTAGAGTTAGAAAAAAAAAAAAGTTTGGAAATTTCGAAGTCAGTGAAAAATGTCACATTTACTGAATTTTTAAAATAAGCAACATAATAAATAATGACTATAAGTATAAATATATCTGTTAACAGATGATTTGTCTACTGGCAAATGGTTCCTGGCCCAGACTTTTCTACTTCTGCTTAAGGACTTGTACTCACTTTTGGAGTCAACTATTCAGATCTTTTACCTCTGCATTTGGCTTTTTTTTTTGGGTACCAGGAATCAAACTTAGCACCTTGTGTTTGCCAGGCAGGCGCTTTTGCCTGTGACCTATCTCCCTGACCCTGGCTTTTTATACTTCTTAGAATTATCTAAAACTCTCATGTTTTAAAAAGGCGGATGGATTTTGCTTTTCTTAATCCACAACGATGAATGTCAGTGTTCATCCACTTTGGGGAAAGCTTTGAGGATTATTAATAAAAGGGATTACCAGGGCTCTTTAGAGGAGGAGAAAGTCCCTGTGCTAGATGGAAGGCAGCTCTGAGAAGCCACTGCAGAGCAGATGCAGGTGACAGTCAGAGGTGAGCGGTACTGAGACATCTCCCAGCGTTCCGGAAGATGCAGTTTGTGCGTTAGCCTTGCTGCTAGCAGCGTTAGCCGTGCTTTTCCGAGCATGGGCTCCAAATCAGACTTTCAGCCAGGGAAGCTTATATGGGGGCTCAGAGGGGCTGTATAGAAAACTGCCAGGATTTGCTAAGTAATGGGGAAGTTAAGCCACGAAGGAAACAAAATGGAAAGGATTAGAAATAACTAGCCTAGATTTTTAAAAAGTTGAGGAATATTTTATGCCCTTTAATCAAATAAGTAAATATTATAAGGAACCAATCAGTAATTTCTCCTTTTTATTAAGAATATACTTAAGAGGGTAGAGCTGTGAAGCTGTGTCCATGTAGAGATTGCTGTTGGCATGAGTGAGGCTCTGCGTTCAGTCTTCAGTAAAAAAGAATGTACTTAGGAAGTGTGTGGGCTGTGGTGTAGTTGACTTGAGGGAGCTGGAAACAAGTCTCAGTCATTCAGGCGAAGATGCACGAGGATCGTGGACAGGGTGGGGGTAATAGAATAAGCTTCGTGCTGAATCAAAACGCAACAGCCAGTCATCTACTTTCTGACAGCCAAGCTAGATAGCGAGGTTCACACCCACACACACACACCCACACACACACACACACCCCTACCTCTAATTCCACTGTGTATTAGACATTGGTTTATATTACTGTTGGAAAGCCATTATTGAAAATAATTCTATTTTCACTCGTCTGATTTTTTTTTTTTGTCTGTAATGCAATGAAATACATTATTTTTGCTTTTTGCTGATTTGCCATCTGCTTTGAGCTTTAAGTAAACTGAAGTTTTATTGAAGCTACATTGTGCATGAATTTAGTGGTTTTACACAATCTGGTTGTTTGATAGTTGATGACCTTTGTCTCCTTTGTTGTCTTATGGTCAGTTAATGGAACTCCCAGCAGCCAACTTTCTACTCCTAAATCTACAAAATCCTCCAGCTCCTCTCCAACCAGCCCAGGAAGTTTCAGAGGATTAAAGGTATGAAATAAGCTAAGCGGTGGGTTCGTGTGATTTTGTTATTTTGGGTTGTGTAGTTGAACACTTTAAATTTGTTTAGGGGCTTGAGTGTAGTAACAAACAGGAAAATTGTCTCGGGATTTGGATCCAGGCAGAACCAGCCTTGAATGCTGCCTAGTTGTGATTTTTGACCAACTCTCTTCACTGCAGTGTTCTCATCTTTGAGACAGGCATGCCGGCTGTGGTTAAGGTGGAACATGTCATGGTTGAGTACAATAAATATTTTTCCAGTTGTCAAAGTGTTGCTAATGGCAGAACCTAGGAGAATACCGTAAGTCTTTATAAAATCTTATTTAGAATCAAGGTGGCTCTACCATAAATTGACTCTGCAGTCTAAAATAGAGTGTGCACTTTTATACCCACAAAGGGATGTCGACCTATCTTTTTCATTAGTAAACTGAATGGTAACAGCCCCACCAGTCATGCCGGAGTAAGTAACGAGATCCTGCCAAGCCCAGCATCCTGACGCCATTAAAGCAGCGCGTGACACGTGGGATTAGCCACTTCAGAAACGTTACATTTTTAAGCTGTAAGGTTTGCTTGTCCTACCCTGAGGATGGTGTTTCTCACTGCATCTGAGGGCTTCTCATCAAAGTGCCTGAGCACAAGAAGAGACTCCATGAGAAAAAAAGACAGGGTCCCTGTTTTTGAGTTTGCTTGCTCAGGTACTTTGATGCAGTTTGGACTGATGCTGACAGGAAGTTTAGGGGTATAGAGTACATCGCTTCCACCTACTTCTCATTACTGAAAACTGTTTATCAAAAGAAGCAGACATATTTCAGAAGCACTAAGTTGGTATAGGTAAGTTTGCATTAATTTTGATGAAATTCTTAACTGTCAATTCCCAAAAATGTTACACAAATTTAAAATCACTAATTGGTTATCTTCAGATTTCTTCCCCAGCTTATTTTCTCCATATTAGTTGCTAGTGCACTGTTGTTAGTCTGAGTAACCTTAAAGAGAATTAAAGTAAAAATAATTCAGGGTGATTTGCCTCTTTTCCAGTTCCATTTGTTGCATCATTTGTTATTGTAAAAGACGAGTGCCTCCTGGTGCTAATTGTTAACCTAGGACAAACCCAGTGTAAGCTTTCTAGGGAGCCGCATGCAGAAGTCATTAATTAGCCTCACGCAGAAAGAGCATGAGTTTGGTGATAGCCTGGTTGACCTATGAGCAAGACTGTCACACATAAAAATTAAAAAGGGCTAGAGATGTAACTCAGCAGTAGAGCACTGTTGGGTTCAAGAAAAGCAGTCAGTCCCAGGCAGAAATGGGATCCTTGATTAGTACTGCGTGTGATTCTTGGTGGGGGCGCCTTAGTCCTTGCTTGCTCCTGGCTCCTTTCCCCCTTTTAAATTGCCCGTTAATAAGCAGGGCTCCCTTACTTTGCCCAAGACAATTCTTTTCTCCTGTCACTAGGTCACTTGACCCTGCTTATTAGCAATAGACACCTCAGCTCTAGGGTTGGACAGCTACCCTTTCGAGAAATATGTACAGTTGCTGTGTGTACACACCTGCCCCTTCACAGGAGCACAAGATCACATGCATTCATGGAGTGAGGACTCAAGGGACTTTTACAATGTGGCAGTAACTTATGTATTTGCTGAAATATAAGACGGGCTTGTTACGGTACTTCTGTGCTAGATACGGCTTAATTTCTAGAGTAGCTTCACCATGTAGGACACAGCAAATGCTCGAGGATTTTCTTAGTGTCTCTAGTAAATGCTCAGAGAGATAAAGACAGGTCACGTGCTGATAAATGGCCGATTGAAGATGGAATGATAAGTCTATAAAGAGCAGCAGGCTTCCCCGGCTGCCCCGCCCTCCCCACAGCCTGCGCTGTGAGTCCTTAACGGAACACTGGTGGAGTCATCCAGGCACAGAAGCGTAGGTGGCTCTGCCAGACCCGTGTGTATTCTTTAGAATGTTTCTATTATGAATTTTTAACACTATGATTTATATTATATTGAACAAGTTCTTAGGAGGAAAAATACCACAAGAACAAAGTTTTGAAGTTTTAATATTTATTGAGTGTTTATAAAAAAGCATCAAAAATTTCAGCATCGTGTTTTTGGGTGTGCTAACTAAAAAGAACAACACAAACACATTCTTTTATGAACTAAAGTGGAAACACCAGTAGCCCTGCACCAAAAAGTCTTTACTGCAGTTATCACACCGAAGGTACTCTTACACGCACACATGACAACAGCGCGTTTCATACACATATTTCACACTAACGGTACGTGTGTTGTGCTTTCCTGGCCGTCTTGTAGGGCATACTTGACATCTCGGTGCTCTTGCTGTTTTATCAGGAGGTTCTTGTTGTATTATACAGTGTGTAGTTAATAGGAACATAAACTATCAATGAAATAAAGGATTAAATTCTTAATTTTTGTTGTGCAATTAGAATAAACACCAGTATTTTCACATCAGCTGTGTACTTGCTTACACAGCCTAAAAGACGCATCAGAAATAAATTCCAATATGAACTACAACGAAAATGCCAGTAGAACTCTACCCCAAAAAGAAGCTTTGCTTCAGTTGCCACCGCACACACGTGTGGCTTACACTGACAGAATGCATGTTTGGTTTTCGTGTAGTTCCTTACAGGGCGCAGTTGACATATTTTTTGTTTTCCTGCTGTCATAGAAGGTCTTTATGATGCTAGGCCTGCCCGGCTACCTCTTAGCTGACAGTGTGCCCAACAAATTTTTTGTGTAGTTCCCTGGGAAGGAACATTTTGTTTTTCCTCTGCTGCAAAAGACTTATGAGCTCTAGTCCCAGACATCTAAGAAAATTTCCCCATGCTATTTTGTACTTACTGTCTTTATAAATTATTGAACTATTCATGCTAAACATGTTTGGGATCAAGTAAAGCACAACCGTTGCCCAGCACTTTGTGTTTCAAGGGACACTGTAGCTGCTGCGTGATTCGTCATCAGCATCTGCTCTAGCTCTGCCCTCAGCCTCGTTGGAGGAAGTTTCCATCTCAGGCTTCCATTATGTTCAAGTTTCTCTATCAGTATTCTTACAATGGGGAAATATTGACTTCAGCACTACCAGTTTGTTCCTCTTTGCCCTATTTGAGGCCAATGTTATATCTTTCTGAAATCCAAAGATTGTACTTACAATTCTCTGATTTGAAGTTGCAGCATTTCATTTACAATTTCTGCTTTGTTCCTATGTGTAGTTCCTGTGCTGGTCAACTTACGTTGTATTAGCAAATGTAACACCAGTTGCAGACTTGTAAACCAATTGTCCAGTGGCACATTCTCATTATTTGGGAGATGGGAGCAGCAGGTCTCTTCACAGTACCATTCAGTTTATTACTATATAGATAAGGACCTGATGGCTGAGTTCCAGGATAAATGTCTAAATTGAGAGCGTAAGTCTTCACATCTACAAGGGCATAAATTTTTATGCCATTTTAAAAAATATTTATTTATTTGGTACAGGGTCTTGCTATGCAACTTGGACCCATAGTGGTCCTCCTGTCTCAGTCTCCCCAGTGCTGGGATTGCAGGTGTGTGCCACCATGCCTGGTTTTGGTAGCTGGCATGGCATGCCCAGGGTTCCAGGGCCGGCAGAGCATGTGGTACTGGGGATCAAACCTGGGTCCTTTGTTTGCCAGGCAGGTGCTTGCACCACTGAGCTATCTCCCCAGTCCTCCATGACATATTTTGACCTATCAATTTTTTGTCTTTTAAGTTCCGGTAATCACCATGATAAATCCCTGCTAAGTACAGACCTATGAATGCTGTCAGCTCAGTTAGTAAGGTGTCATAATAAATACGTGTTTAACGTGGCTATTGGTGCACACAGAATGTTTTACATATTCCCACCTTTGTGTATTTCACGGCATCTTGTAACATGTTGTCTGTTACAACCTAAAATTGAGTGGCAGCGCTGGCATTAGGAGACCCTCACTGCGTTTTCTGACCTTGTTCTAACACTGAATCATCCCATTTGGTTGCGTGGCCATTTCACAACCCTTCAGCCGGTCAAATCCATCCTCACGTTGCTGTTTTCTTTGTCATCTGACTCAAGGAGGTCTGCATTCCCTGTGTCTGTATCAGTGGACTCTTGCTCCATTTCACTGCAGCAGGAGCTGTTGCTCACACGGCCAGCGTCAGAGCCATCGTCACCATCGTTGCCATCACCGTCACCGTCTCCATCACGCTCTTCATCATCACGTGTCCACACCACTCTCCTGCTGTGAAAGCTTGTGCTTTGCCCTAATGGCTCGCCTTCATCATCCGCGCACAAGTGATTGGATGATTCACTTTTGACTTCCTCCAAAACTCGAAAATCTGGTTTTTCATGAGCAGTTGTCCTAAATTGGATTACTTCAATAAGAAAAAAATCTAAAGAAAACTCTTTAATAAATCTTGGAGTGATGTGGGTCCATGGGACCCTCTGTGAAAAACAAAGATGTACACAGAATAAATTGGGTGAAAATCCTCTTTTGCCACTTTAGCTACCTTGCTGTTTGGTAACACATAGATTGTTTCCGGTACCCCTCAGGGAAAGGGCACTCAGCCTTTCCCTGAGGAAACAGCCTGCAATGCATAGCCAGCTACTATTGCACTAACGTACAGTAGAAAAGGAGGGGTGTGTCCTCTGGACCAGCCTTCTGCTCCTGGCTAGAAAACCTCTGGGTTGTATTGTTCTCATCTGTTAGTAAGGATGATTGATATTAAGTGACCTTTCAAATGGAATTATAATTCTTCAGTTTGTCAAAAACAGAACAGCATTGTCCAAAAAAAAAAAAAAAAAAAAAAGTGTTGTCTGTTTCTCCTCACTTAAAAGCTGAGCTAAAATCTCCAGAATTTCAGCACTTAGCCCCTACATGAGGTGCTGCTGCACCGACTGAGCTCCTAGGCTGTGTCACTAGGCACTGCCATTGTTGTGGTTCTTGCCTTGCAGAAATTTCACCCCTTTATGTTCCCAACAGTGTATAT